ATGGGGCAATGGGGCCCCCCAACCCTGTGTTCCCCCCCCCAGGAGCAGCGGTTGGAGGCAGCGCGGCTCCAGCACCAGTTGAACCAGCTCCAGGAGACCTGGGGCCTGTGAGAGATGGGGGGCAATGGGGGGCAATGGGGTATTGGGGGCGATGGGGGGAATGGGGGGAATGGGGGTAATGGGGGGCAATGGGGTAATGGGGGGAATGGGGGTGATGGGGGGAATGGGGGGTAATGGGGGCAATGGGGGTGATGGGGATAATGGGGGTAATGGGGGTGATGGGGGCAATGGGGTAATGGAGGCAATGGGGGGCAATGGGGCAATGGGGTGATGGGGGCAATGGGGGTAATGGGGCAATGGGGCAATGGGGGTAATGGGGGTAATGGGGGCAATGGGACCCCACTGCTGACTGGCTCTAACTGGTCCTGCGCTGGTGCCAGCAGCACCCATGGGTGCCCCTCACTCCTCTCCCCCCCCCCCCCCCCTTACAGGCAGCGCTGGGGCTCCCTTGGTGACACCCCCATGGGGCAGGTAAGGGTCAGGGGACCCCAATGGGGGGGACATCAATGGGGGGGCATCAATGGGGGGGCGGGGGCATCAATGGGGTGACCCCAATGGGGGGGACATCAATGGGGGGGCGGGGGCATCAATGGGGTGACCCCAATGGAGGGATCCCAATGGGGGGACCCCAATGTGGGGGGCATCAATGGGGTGACCCCCATGGACCTGACCCTGGTGCCCCCCAGGAGGGGGCTGAGCCCCGGCAGGATGAGGCCCAGGTGAGGACCCCCCCGGAGGCCAGCACCAGGTAGGGATGGGGCCAGGAGGCCGCCGGCCCCACTGCTCCCAGTGCCGCTCATGGCCTGCACCGGTAGGGCACCAGTGACACCAGTGACAACACCAGGACCACCAGTGACACCAGGACCACCAGTGACACCAGTAACAACACCAGTAACAACACCAGTGACACCAGGACCACCAGTGACACCAGGACCACCAGTGACACCAGGACCACCAGTGACAACACCAGGACCACCAGTGACAACACCAGGACCACCAGTGACACCAGTAACAACACCAGTAACAACACCAGTAACAACACCAGTGACACCAGGACCACCAGTGACAACACCAGTACCACCAGTGACACCAGTACCATCAGTGACACCACCAGTAGCAACAGTGACACCAGGACCACCAGTGGCAACACCAGTACCACCAGTGACAACACCAGGACCACCAGTGACAACACCAGGACCACCAGTGACACCAGTACCACCAGTGACACCAGTAACAACACCAGTACCACCAGTGACAACACCAGTGACACCAGTACCATCAGTGACAACACCAGGACCACCAGTGACAACACCAGGACCACCAGTGACACCAGTAACAACACCACTACCACCAGTGACACCAGTACCACCAGGACCACCAGTGACAACACCAGTACCACCAGTGACACCAGGACCACCAGTGACACCAGTACCACCAGTGACACCAGTAACAACACCACTACCACCAGTGACAACACCAGGACCACCAGTTACAACACCAGGACCACCAGTGACACCAGTAACAACACCAGGACCACCAGTGACACCAGTACCACCAGTGACACCAGTACCACCAGTAACAACCCCAGTGCCACCAGTAACAACCCCAGTACCCCCAGTGGCCCTGCTGCTGGCGCTGCCCCCAGTGCCCCCAGTGCCGGAGCTCCCAGTGCTCCCAGAGCTCCCAGTGCTCCCAGTGCCGGAGCTCCCAGTGCTCCCAGTGCTCCCAGTGCCCCCAGTGCCGGAGCTCCCAGTGCTCCCAGTGCTCCCAGTGCTCCCAGTGCTCCCAGTGCCCCCAGTGCCGGAGCTCCCAGTGCTCCCAGTGCCAGAGCTCCCAGTGCTCCCAGTGCCCCCAGTGCCGGAGCTCCCAGTGCTCCCAGTGCCAGAGCTCCCAGTGCTCCCAGTGCTCCCAGTGCTCCCAGTGCTGGGCTGGGTCCTGGTGCTGGGGCTGCTGTTGCTGTGGGAGGGGCCGGCCCCGGGCCTGCAGCTGCGGCACCACAGAGCCCCCCCCGTGTGACCCCCCCATAACCACCCCATAGCCCCGTTTACACCCCATAACCACCCCATAGCCCCATTTACACCCCATAGCTGCCCATTCACCCCATAACCCCCCCATAGCCCCCTGTTTACACCCCATAGCTGCCCATTTACACCCCATAACCACCCCATAGCCCCCCTGTTTACACCCCATAGCTGCCCATTCACCCCATAACCACCCCATAACCACCCCATAGCCCCGTTTACACCCCATAGCTGCCCATTTACCCCCATAACCCCCCCATAACTACCCCATAGCCCCGTGTTTACACCCCATAGCTGTCCATTTACCCCATTTACCCCCATAACCACCCCATATCCCCGTTTACACCCCATAGCTGCCCATTTACCCCCATAACCACCCCATAACCACCCCATAGCCCCGTTTACACCCCATAGCTGCCCATTTACCCCCATAACCACCCCATATCCCCGTTTACACCCCATAGCTGCCCATTTACCCCCCATAACCCCCCCATAACTACCCCATAGCCCCGTTTACACCCCATAGCTGCCCATTCACCCCATAACCACCCCATAGCCCCCTGTTTACACCCCATAGCTGCCCATTCACCCCATAACCACCCCATAGCCCCGTTTACACCCCATAGCTGCCCATTCACCCCATAACCACCCCATAGCCCCCCTGTTTACACCCCATAGCTGCCCATTCACCCCATAACCACCCCATAGCCCCCTGTTTACACCCCATAGCTGCCCATTTACCCCATATAACCCCCCTTTTACCCTCCATAACTCCCCCATTCACCCCCATAGCCCCCCATTTACCCCATATACCCCCCCTTTTACCCTCCATAACCCCCCCATAACCCCCCATTTACCCCCTATAACCCCCCTTTTACTCTCCATAACCCCCATTCACCCCCCATAGCCCCCCCATTTACCCCATATAACCCCCCTTTTACCCTCCATAACCCCCCCTTTTACCTCCCATAGCCCCCCATTTACCCCATATAACCCCCCTTTTACCCTCCATAACCCCCCCATTCACCCCCATAGACACCCCATTTACCCCATATAACCCCCCTTTTACCCTCCATAACCCCCCCTTTTACCTCCCATAGCCCCCCATTTACCCCATATAACCCCCCTTTTACCCTCCATAACCCCCCCTTTTACCTCCCATAACCCCCCATAGCCCCCCATTTACCCCATATAACCCCCCTTTTACCCTCCATAACCCCCCCATTCAACCCCTACACCCCCCATTTACCCCTACACCCCCCATTACCCCATGAACCCCCTCCCCATTGCCCCCCATGACCCCCAATAAAGCCGCGTTGCTCTGTGCCCCCCCCATTAAGGGGGTTCAGTACCCCCGCCCCCCCCACACACACTCAGGCTCCCACCATCACCTTTATTGGGGGGGGGGCCCAGTCTCTGAGGGCCCCCCCAAACCCCCCCCATGCGCTATGGGGGGGCCGAGGGGGGGTCACATGGCTCCTGGGTCGGCCTAAATGGGGAGGAGGTGGGGGGGGAAGTCAGGACCCCCCAGGCCCCCCCCCATGTGCCCCCCTTTACCTGTGTCCATCCAGTGACCCCCCCATTGCCCCCCAATTACCCCCATTGCCCCCATTACCCCCCATTACCCCCCATTGCCCCCCATTGCCCCCATAGCCCCCCTTGCCCCCCATTGCCCCCATTACCCCCATTGCCCCCCATTGCCCCCATTACCCCCATTGCCCCCCTGCCCCATTGCCCCCCATTGCCCCCATTGCCCCACCTGCACTCGCTGCCCCCCCCCTTCCTCCTCCTCATGCTCAGGCCCCACACGACCGCGCTCAGCACCAGGGCCCCCCCCAGTGCCCCCCATAGCACGAGCCCGTGGGGGGCGGGGGGGGAGACCCCGTGCGAGGCCGCGGGGGGGGGTGACACTGGGGGGTCTGCGGGGGGAAAAATGGGGGGGGTGAATGTGGGTCCCATGGGGGGGTCACATTTGGGGTCACTATGGGGGGGTGACTATGGGGGGGGTACCCATTGGGGTCACTATGGGGGGGTGACTATGGGGGGGTCCCCATTGGGGTCACTATGGGGGGGTCCCCATTGGGGTCACTATGGGGGGGTGACTATGGGGGGGTCCCCATTGGGGTCACTATGGGGGGTTCCTCATTGGGGTTCCTATAGGGGGGTCCCTATGGGGGGGAGGTCCCTATGGGGCCGGTACCCTTGGTGCAGCGCAGGCGGGTGCAGGTGTGGGGCGGGGGGGGGCGCTCCCGCAGCCCCCCCAGTTGCAGCTCCAGTGCCCCCAGGAGCTGGGAGACGTTCATGGGGCGCAGGCGAGCGCAGCCCTGGGGGTCCTGGGGGCAATGGGGGGGGTCAGTGGGACCCATAGAGCCCCACAGAGCCCTATAGAGCCCCATAGAGACCCCATAGAGCCCCACAGAGCCCATAGAGCCCTATAGAGCCCCATAGAGCCCATAGAGACCCCATAGAGCCCCACAGAGACCCCATAAAGCCCCACAGAGCCCCGTAGAGACCCATAGAGCCCATAAAGCCCCATTGAGCCCATAGAGACCCCATAGAGTCCCATAGAGCCCCATAGAGAACCCTTAGAGACCATAGTGACCCATAGAGGCCATAAAGCCCCATAGAGCCTATAGAGACCCCATAGAGCCCAATAGAAACCCCGTAGAGACCCCATAGAGACCATAGAGTCTATAGAGTCCCATAGAGACCATAGAGCCCCATAGAGCCCAT